TATTATTGCAGAAAAAAATATTCAATAAGTAAAGGTTCAATACTGAATTTACTCGAGCTGTTTGAACACAACAGAAATATTTTATGCAAGCTTCTTGCAAGCATGATCATAATTAAATAGATATACAAATCAAATAAATTTTTAGTAATGAAGCAAAATATAATATTCTTTTGAAAAACATACATGTATATGAAATTCAACTTTCATTGACGGTGATAAAGTAATACAAACTAAAGTTACAATATAATTGTATAATAATAAAGCAAACGGTATTACATCACATAAATATATGTGTACAGACAAAATGGCCATTGCAAAAACTAGTTAGTATGGTAAATATGTGAAAAATAGAAACAAAAAAGAAAAGTACTGGTTAACATCAATATAACATGAACTTTAAAAAATATACTGCTCTATGCTCAAACTTGATATTTAGTAATATATTGTTGATTGCTTATATATTAACCTGCCAACATTTTTTTTTTACTTCACACAAAGTTAAATGTTTTTAAAATTCAACACACAATAGTTAGTCATAATAAGATTATATAGTGTTGTTAAAAAAAACTGGCATTTTCTAAAAGAAAATACCAATATATAGTGTATTCATTCTGCTATTTAAATTATGCAAAGTCAGTAAGAATTCATAAATTTAAAACAAATTTCTGTTATTAAAAAATTTTACTCAAGCATGAGCATGGATATTTTTAAACATAACAAATTTAAAACAAAACAAACTAAACAGGAGAACTGAATATATATAATAGAAAAGATCAAACAAGGAAATGCAACATTCAATGAACACAACAATTAAAGTAATTCTTTACTACTTTAATAAAAACAAATCAAACATTATTTCACAAAAACCATACAATATTCTTTCCCCTTATTTAATAAATAACTTGACAAAAACTTGAAAAATTGACCACTTAATTTTTAGCACCAAAATTTTACTGATTTTCAAACCATTTTGAAATAAACAAATAAATACAATTTTTAACCACATTTAATGAAATTCAAAACAAATAGGCTGAAGAACATGAAAGGTCATTACAACAAAACAAAAAAAATCTTATGAACAACTGTTTGCTTGATCTTAACTTATAAAATGTATATCTGTAATCATTTTTATATATAAAGAACATATAACTTTGTTATATGGCTATCAGTCTCAATTATACATAATACATGAAAAATTATTTATATATAAAGAACATATAATTAAGAAAAAAAATATTTATATTTTAAAGTAATACTTTATAAAAAGTTGAAGGCACACCAAAACATGACTTGTTACATTAATTTTTAATTAAAATCAACAATTTTTAACTAGCAAAATCATTTTACAAATGTATGAAAAAAGTTACATTTACTTATTTCAAATTAAAATTTGTATTTAAAGCAGCATATTTCCTGATAAATCATTTAACTTTAATAAGTACTAAAATTATTAAATATACTATTTAAAGCAGCATGCATCTGAATTTAATTTAATATAATTATTTTATCTTGAAGAATTAACTTCTTAACTTAAGATTGCCTTCAAATTTATGCAATGTTCCATAATAAAATGAAGTGTTAAAATATGTATTTAGTTAAAATATTCACTGTGAAAACATTTCTTAAAATTAAAAATACTTGTACATTTCTTTGTATTTTCTTTTATTTTTTAATTTTTGAAGAAAAAAAAATATTCATACTGATGTACAGTATGCTGCTCTTAAAGCAAAACAAATTGATTTGACATTTGACATTTATAAACAAGCCTTCTAAACAATATTTAAACAAGCATTTGATAGTATTGCGGGCAATACAGTAGTCCCCTACCGGTCCCTCAAAAAGTTCTTTAATTGTCATACACTCCTGTGTATTGCCATTTATAATGAATTTGAGGATGAAGTCTGTATTTGAAAATATCGACCACAAAACATAATAAAACAAGTTTCATAAAAATATTTCCAGTACTTTTTGAGTTATCACTGGATTTCCGTTTTATGTGTAAAATTTGCCATATTTTCAGTCTATGTGTTGCCATAGCAACCAGAATTTTCAACATAGGAAGAAAAAAAAAAACGTGCATAATTTAAAGACTGCCATCTACCCCATATGTCAAGTTTCATAAAAATATTTCCAGTACTTTTTGCGTTATCACTGGATCAGTTTATGTTGTGTAAAATTTTGCCATATTTTTCAGCCTATTTGTTGCCATTAGCAACCAGAATTTACAACATAGGAAGAAAAGAAAAAGACGTGCATAATCTCAAGACTGCCATCTACCATATGTAAAAGTTTCATAAAAATATTTCCAGTACTTTTTGCGTTAATCACTGGAATCCAGTTTTATGTGTAAAATTTGCCATATTTTCAGCCTATTTGTTGGCCATAGCAACCAGAATTTTTCAACATAGGAAGAAAAGAAAAAGACGTGCATGATCTCCATACTGCCATCTATCCATATACAAGTTTCCATAAAATATTTTCAGTACTTTTTCAAGTTATCGCGGGATCCAGTTTTTGCGGAGCGGACGGACTGACGGACAGACAGACGGACGGACAGACGGAGGGTAAACCTAAAGTCCCCTCCGGTAAACCGGTAGGGGACTAAAAAAAGTCGATATAGGACAGGACTGGAAATAATTTTTTTGGGATTATAATGATTGTACTTTTTGATTTAGGTATTTCATTTGATTGAAATATGAAGAAAAGATTTGCAAGTCACACTGATCAAGAGATTGAAGAGAAGAGAAAAAAACTGTGCCATATAATAACACTCAAAAATTGAACACTCACTGTGCTGAAACCTTTAGGAAATATCTTGAAGAAAAGGGTCTTGAAACTAATTTTGAAGAGTTTGATGAAACAAAATTAGCTGAAGCATTGGGCCATTTTTATATGGATGCCCGTACTGTGAATGGGCAGGCATATAAAACCTCAACACTTGAAAAACATTCGGCATAGTCTGAATAGATACTTGAAATCTCCACCGTTCAATAAGCATTTTGACATTATCACTGGTCCAGAATTTTTGGATGCAAATGAAATGCATGAAAAACAGCTTTAAAAGAGCTAAAACAAAATGGGCAAGGATCTATAAATCACTACCCTAAGATTACAGATGATGACCTAGCAAAGCTGTACATGAGTGTATATTCACTCCAAATACACATCTGGCCTACTTAATAGAGTGGCAGATGAATATTAAGATTATTTTTTTTGTAGAAGAGCAAATGAAAAATTTCGATCAGATGACAAAAAGCAAATTTCAAATTGGAAAATACCCTGATGGAACTAGATATGTCTATAAGTCAGAAGATGAATTTACAAAAACCCATCAAGAAAAAACAAAAGGCATTAATAACAGGTCACATGCCAGAAGATAAGATTAATAGTGACCTATGCCCAGTAAGACTGTATGAGCTATACACATCAAAATTGAATCCATCCAACAATCGCTTTATGGCAATACCAAGAGATGCTTACCAATATGGAGATGAAAGCTGGTATCAAAATAGACCAATGGGAAGAGACAAACTTGCATCATTTTCTGAAATGTCTATCAAAAAAAGTGCCACTTTTCGCAAGTATATACGAACCATTCAATTCGGGTCACTGGTGTATCTATCCTTGGGCAGGGATTTTCTATGCCGCAAATCATGGCAGTGTCCGGACAACAGATCAACATCGTCCCTAGCTTTATACCAAAGGGTATCAGATCCAGGGAAACAACAAATGGGAAATGCTATTTCCAACAAAAATCATAGGCCAGGAGAATCTACCAATGCTGCCAAGTACCAGCCATACATTACGGCACACTGCCATCTTGTAGTAGTTCATTAAATCCAGAACAGAATGTATGTAGCCTGGTTGCCATTCAAACGCAACTTACAATCAAATTCAGGTCAGTGCAAATAATCTAGATAAAATTTGTACACAGAATTATGAATACATATACTACATCTAAATATGAAAAAAACCATTCTTTAAAGAAATTGACTTTATCTAATTAGAAACATAATAACAAACCTTTTCCTAAAAATTTTTTTAAAAGAAATTAAAATAGATTTGTTTAGAATTTAGAAATCAATTTTGTGAAGAAGAGTAAAAATAGCAAATGATTTTTATAAAAAAAATGTATATATTCATAGGTTAACTTTTCTATAAATATTATAAAATATATTCTATTACCAAATTTCAGTGTCTGTATTGGATTCAGATAATGGGAGGAATGCATTGTATGCAATGGATTGATTTCAATCCTGAAGATTTCTTCTCAGATTTTTTGATTCACTGCCAGATGTGTTTGCACCAGCCCGAAATTCAAATGATAACAAACCAAAGAGGTCAAGGAATTTTCAACAACTGCCAATAATTATGTCAGGAGTCACAATAAATTTTCAATTTTGTACAAAAATAAACTGACAAACAACTGATGTTAAAAAATAGTTGACAGACACTTAAAATTTCAATATTATTTCATGTTAACAGCAGTTTGTTTTAATATTTACAGTTGTCCTTGTTGACCTATTAATGTTTTCAAGTTTATGTAAACTTTATATGTAAGTTGATTACACAAACCATACTGTAGCTAAAACATAATTTGGAGGGGGGGGGGGGGTGGGGCTTTTTTGTAAAATAAGTGTTACCATTATTTAATATGTTTGGTTTTCACATTTTTGTATTCTTCACCTGTTTATGAGTTTATATTTATAAAGTTATAGCGCAAGTTGACAGGTTTGATCATCATCTGAGTGACTCACTAAGATATAAAACTTCTCCATAAATTCAGAAGATTGAGTCTGTTTCTTTTTCCAGTATCCTGAGCAAACTCATTTGTTAAGGTAACTTGACCAAAACAAAATGGCTGCTGTGTAAAAAAAATTGTTATTCACTTTTTTCTTCCTGGTTTCTTTGAGATAAAAAACTCAACTTTTTTAACCTATTAAATGTAACAAGTACATTGTACAGCATTTGTAAGGAAAAAATAAAATAATAAAAATATAAATGTTTTGAAGTTTTACCTTGTACAAGAAGTGTCTTTTTTATGCCAATTTCCTGAAGTTGTCAATCCAAAAATTAAGATTTAAAAACACTGGTTTTTATCTATAACATCTTCCTTAGATGCTCCACCAAAAAAATATTGTTCAAAGTTGTTTAAAGTATGTAAAAAGTTCACTGTTTTGAAGTCACTGTTTTAAAAATTTCAGTACACTATTACATAATCAGCTGTCAAAATAAAGTAGTCCATGATAAAAGTATGGTGGGTAAATATGAACATCATACTGTTATAATCTGTTATCTGGTTTGCTGAAAATGATAAAGTGAAATTAATAGGGTTTCCTTTTATCAATTCAATATCAATGATTTACTGACAATAGATGATATAAAATTGTATATTATTCAATACATCTTTAATGTTTAGACTATTAAATATGCACTTTTATAAATCATAATGAAAAGTTATAATATGTAATATAAATTTAAGACTGAATAATGTAAAAGAAATGAATAATGTAGTTTATTGTCTGTAACTTTTCATATTATCTATTATTAGAGGGGAGCGGTGGCTTAGTGGTTAAGCCTTAACTTAAGGTGTCTGGCTCTCAACACAGAGATAATGGGTTCGAGCCCTACTCGGTCACAACCATGTTTTTTCATATGACACCAGTATAATGAAATCAACTTATGTTATTATTTAATCTCTTATTTATGTATTGTATTTTATAAATTGTTTTGTACATTATTGAGGCTCATAGGGAACACTGGGCTTGCCCAACTGTTTTGCCTCATTAAATAAAGTCGTTACTTACTTACTTCCAGTACTGGGTGGTTCAAGGAAGCAAACTCGAAAGTGATTAACATAAGTTGCAAGAACTTATTTCGCAATCAAGCTGAAATAAATATGTTTAAACCAACTTGTCATAACTGAAATTATGATATATGTATATGTTTTTACTATAATAGTATTTATTTGACCTAACAATTTTCAACTACAGGCATGAAATAAAACTTTATACACTTTAAATACCGTTAGCAATAGAATAGTCGGACAGGAAATTCAATTTGATTCCTATGTGTTACAAGTTAACTCGTAGAAAGTTATTTGTTTGTCACAGATTATTTTAGGTTTGTATAAAGTGAACAATGTCAAGCAATATCAAGCATGAAATTTTCCAAAGAATATACCTCATAAATCATCAAATCGCAAATTCCCCTCCTCATAATCTTTATACAGTTCTTCTACATCATAAATGTCATTTTCATTTTTATACTGCACTTGGTACACAGCATTTTTATTTCCATCTTTCCCTCTGGAAACACCAATAACAATTCCTGAGTACCACTCTTCTTGACCAACATCAGTTTCCCATTTATGAAGTATTCTTCTACCAACAAATTTCATACAAGTTGAACGCCTTGATCTGCTATATCTGTTAAATTATTGACAGTAAATATAAAAAGTTTAAAAAAAAAATGTTATTTTGATTTACATTTATGCATTGCTACAATGATTTCACAATGGTACATGAACAATATTTATCTTTATTACATACTTATAAACGAGATATTGAGAAATAATGATAGAATAAAATGCGCATTTTCATTTTCCGTATGATAATTTATATCTCACATATTTTCAGTATTTTCACTGGTGTCTTGCCCGACTAATTTTTTGGAAATTCTGCAATTACAATTATTTTCTTGCATAGCAGACTGGCGTTTCCTTGAGTTTAACCTATCCCGGAAATTTCATCTGGCATGGGGGGTGCCATATGAGTCGCGTGCCAAACAACGTCATTTAAGGGCACTTTAAATTGAAAATTATATAAAAAAATATATAATAAAACAAAAATTCATGTCTTTCCTACAAATACAGAACATATTTTCATCTTGTGGTATGAAAAATATCATATTTCACTTGTGTGTACCGTCACTCATGAAATATTTATTATCATACCACTGGATGAAAATAAATCCTATATTTAGAGAAGAAACTGTAATATCTTCTATAAATTATTTATAAATTTAATACCTTTGAGGTGATACAGGTTGATTTTCTTTTGTTTTTGTAGGACTTTTAACATTTGTTACAGATGAAGAACTTGACTTCTTGACCCCTTTTTTGTCATATAAAGCGTCTGTAGATGTTGATGGCTTAGCCCGGGTGTAGATTTTCCGAGGTTTATGAAAAAAACCATGGAAACTGCTTCAAAAACCTTGGAAATAAACCAGTTTTACAAGGTTTTTTCTTAATTCCGAGGTTTTTTTTAAAACCTTGGAAACTTTATCCAAGGTTTTTGTATAAAAATCCTTGGAAATAAAGAAAACCTTGGAAACTATCTCGGAATTAAACACTCTGCCAACAATCAGCTCGGAAAAAGCTTGGAAATAAGAACTTTGTCATTTTTTTGCTCGGAAAAGAACTTAGAAAATTTACGTAAAATTTGTTGGAAACACTTTGCCAATATTTAGCTTGGAAATGACCTCGGATAATTGAACTTAACTAAATTTCATATCGGAAAATGTTAAGACATAATCATGATTTAACTTATAATGGGCATCAAAAGCAATAATCAACAGTTAAAGCAAACTAAGATAACAACCCAACTGTAGATTGCCAATGGATATTTCTTAATCCATGGTCAGAGAAAACAATTGTCCAACAGCATGGAAAGGAGAGATTTGGTCCAGGGAATCAATTTTTAGTAATTCCTTTTCAATAAATTTGTACTTTAATCTTCTGAAGCCATTTTTGTGGGAGGAATCAATTAAAAAAATTTAAGTGTGAAAACATGGAAAAGTTAAATAAAATGTAAATTCCTTGTTGCCATAAAATACCTTTTATTAATGGCTATAAAGGTATTGTAACTAATCATAATAAGATAAAGATTATTCAAAATAACTGATGATCAGAAAGACTTGAAAATTTTATTTTTTTTATTATATCATATTTTTTTTTATATTATTTATAATTATTGTTACTAGATATCTTCTCCATTTTTTAAGAATAGATAAAAGAGCAAAACTTATAATTATACAAAAAGAAACAATCAGTGTTTATGTCTATTAGTTTCTAAATGCATCAGTATTTTTCCTGCAGTTTCTTTCTATATATAGACTTAACTTATGGTTTCTTGACAGCCTGTAAGCAACACTGAAATAAGAATGCTATTAATCTTTAATATATGTTTTTATGCCATATAAAATAGTATATTCTACTAAGCAAGTCTGTGACATACATTCAGATTACAATTTACTCTGCCATTAATTATGTGTACAATAAACATAAATAGTTATTAATTGTCCTTTTAATATATAATTATGTACAATTAATGTGTAAAATATGTAGGCTTGATACTTTCTTATAATTAAGATAAATAAATACTGCATCCACTAAGTTTTCACACACAGAATATAACACACTGATCAGATAAAACTAATGGCACCCCAGGTGGTTCCCTCTTATAATCTATGAATGATCAATCTTCTCATTGAGCATTCTGGGATAGACCAGATTGTTCCATGTGATTATTCAGGGGGAGTCTGGGTTTTTATACAATCCAAACCAGTCTAAATTGACACTGCAACTGTGATTCTCTTATAATTTTCAAGTTTTACTTTTATTTATCATTTGATATATTTGTACCTTCAATAAAATTAATGTAAAAATAAAATGATGATGGCTTTGATATTTTGGGATCACCCCTGTTTCACATTATGATTGCCCCTTCAGTTATACTGTTGAAAAATTTGAATCTCAGACATTAATGGGTCAAGTGGTTATAGTTGGAAGTAGTGCAAACCTGGATTTATTTTAAGCAATTTTGGACATATTTGTTTTAAATGTTACGGAGCATATTTTGGAATTTTCAAAGAAAACATTTATCTAAGTGTGACAAGATTCAGGAAATGTTTGGTTGTTGTAATTGAACCTAAAGATCAATGACCTGGGACAGGAAGATAAACAAAAGAAACATGATAGTAAAAAGGTTCAGGTAAATAATTTTAGATACATTTATGCATAAAATCTGTTGTTGTTTTTTTTTTCAAATAAGTATTAAATACAAACTATTTTTAGATCTATATTTTTTAACCTAAATGTAAGCTAGTTTAAATACAATTGTTAGAGGATATTTTAAGAGTATTAATGTTATTTTTGTCTATGATTGTATTGAACAAGATGAGTGCATGAAACTATGATGACATTATTTATAAACTCAAATTCATCTTTCATCTATTATTTGAATCTACAAATTTTTAATTACAGAGTCAGCTTGAAGCAAGTTTGCAAGACTGTTCCAAACTACAAGAAGATGCAATCCAGCTTTGCTGTGTTTTTAAATATCATAGTATATCATTTGGCATCCAGGCATCGATTAAGCCAACTGTAGACCAGGAAAGGCTGCAGGGAATATACTACAGTATGTTTTGTTTTAAAACTAGGTTTTGAAAGTTTCAATTTGAAATTTGAATGAATGAAGGTTTCTGGAACTGATTTTTTTATTTGATACTTTTGTTGGAAATGCTGTTAATGTTACATGATGACTCTCCAGCTTTATTGATACAGATGTCACTTTGAGCAGACAGATACAATAAGTGTAGGCAATGGGAATCACCTTATGAAAAGCGTTATTTTTTGCAATATTTTTAGAGTGCTTTAGGTTGTAACATCCAGTATGACACTATCTAAAATAATAGTAACAGACATCGTTTCTTTTTCTAAACATCGCAGAATTGTCACACTGCTTACCAAAAGTTTTCTTGAAATCCTGACACTAAGTACTGATGAAGAAAAATAAGAAATCAACATGAAAAAATTAAATTCACTATTTCAAAACAGTAGACCAATATTTAAAAGTAACTACAGAAAAGGTCATTTGAAATATTAAAGCCTTCATTTTAATCAATGGTCTTGAACAACTTGTAATTCAAGTAGTTTTGGATCACTCAAAAGATGTATTTCTTTTCACAAAAGTGCTGATTTTTTAAAACAATATATATCAACAGTGAACTGATATTTTTGTCTATGGAAACGTTTAAGGAATGCATCATTTTTTTTATTGATTAATAAAAAGAAATTAAATGATGTAATTCTGATTGCCTACACATACTGAACTGTCCTGAGTATAACCACAGGTGTTCCTTAATCCTGGGCTGGATAGCTCCCTCAGAGGGAAGAAGCCCATCCTGGCTTCAGGAGTCAAAAATACAATGTTGTAAGGCAAGTAGTTTGAAGTCTTTGATCCTGACCACATGGAGAGGGAAGCGCCCAATGGAGAGGGAAGCGCCCAGTGGTGATTTTATATAATTGTTTTTTCTAACTTCTTTCAATGGCTGTACTTTATTAAATGTTTACTTTATTTATTTCAGGAATTGTATCCTGGAGCATTTTCCACATGTGACCCTGTGATGGTGAGGGAAAAACTAAGGGACATTTAAAAATCATGAAGAGTGAACAGGAATTCAAAAGATAGATATTTGAATACATTAAAATTTAACCGGATACCAAAATATTATAACTGAACATTGAGTGTAATATTTACCATTAAAGACTTCTAACTTAACTTTTCATTTGTAGTGCATTACTATTTACTTCACACTGACATTAAATGTTTCAGTGAGTCATGTGATCATTTTTTGCTCTGTATTATTACAAAGAAGTTTCTTAATTCCTTAAAAGGACAATATCATTGCTCTTTTCAGAATATTTCATTGGATGTTATGTTTTCTGATTTTCCATGGATATTCTAGAAATTTCCAAGGTTTTTGCTCAAATAAACCTTGGAAAATTCTCTTATGCCCTTAAGTAAGAATCCTCGAAAATATAACAGTATTCCAGTTGTGAGAAAACTTTCCGAGGTTTTCATTTAAAAACCTTGGAAAACAAACCACGGAAACACTTTAAAAATCCTTGGAAATCGTTCCAATACTCCGAGGTCACTCATTTTCCAAGGTTTTCTAAACAAAATCCTCGGAAATTATTTTACGAGGTTTTTATTCTGAAATCCTTGGAAATCGTTCCAATACTCCGAGGTCATACTTTTAACGAGGTTTTTTAAAAAAAAAACTCGGAAATTTTTTACAAGGTTTTTCACCCTCTCCCTATTTTTCCAAGGTTTTTTTAATAGCAAAGTTTTGCATTTTCTTGTTCCAATACTCCGAGGTTTTTTTCCAAGGATTTTGAGCCAAAAACCTTGGAAAATCTACACCCGGGAGGTCTGTTGTTTGGAGCTGACGATGATGATGATGATGGCCTAGTATTGCTGTCTGATGGTGAATACTGTAAAAGTAGATAAGAGTAATGATTGATATACTCAAATATGAAATGAATTTATAACAAGAGCAAGTAGATTGCAAATATTTTCTTATTTAGAATGTACAATAAGGATTATTGGCATGATCAAATTTAAAAAAAAAACTTCAGTGGCAAAATGGCAGATTAAACATTTAAATAAAACTTAAATCTGTGTGCCTTGAACAATGAATTCCAATACAAATTAAAAAGGTATTTGGCAGTGTGAATTTCAAACAGGCAAATTATATATGAAGGTAATGAACAAATTTCACATTCACTGTTAAATTAAACTACTATGAGACACATATAACTTAAATTTATACATGTTTCAACTTCTTATAAATAAAAGAAATAATTAACAATAAAATAATAGAAATGCATACCATAAAATTGACAAATGACATAAATAAATTATATTATAATTATGTGAATAAACATTATTTGATTGGGGTCACAATGCGATATAATGGCAGTTGTAAGAAAATACATACAGAAAAAAAGAAGAAGAAATATACAATTATTTTTTTTTTAAATAATGAAATAAATTAATGAATATGTTACACACCCATGGGATTGATGGTTTTCTTATACCAGAAACACTTCTATATCTTGGTACAGCTATTTCTGGAAGTACATGAGTCCAATAAAATGCTTTCAACTTTGGAACCATTTTATTTATCCACAAATCTTGATCTCTGTAAATTCTTTCAATATAAATATCATAAGGGTTGGAACGCCTTATGATAAGGTCACACCAATCTTTTCTCAAAATATTTAATTGTCCTTGTATTTGGTAGAAGAATTTATGGTTAATTTTGAGAGCAAGAGTTCCAGATCTTATTCCTAAACAGAATTTTTTTTCTT